AATTTGCTAAATGTCTATATCTACGAATAAGTAATAATAATAAAAAAGGAAATTATAATATATTCAAAAATAATGCAAACAAATATTTGTCAAGTATTAGGTACACATTTTTATTATATGAGCAGAAAAAGTGTGGTGTTAAATTTGTGAGAATTGGTTATTTTTACAGGGCTCGCCCTCTGCCATATTATCTTTTAAAATAAAATAAATAAATCAATAAATAAAATATCCCGTCACGCTGTTTATTCCATAGTCGTTTTCAAAAAATAACTTTACGCTAAAATTTCATGATTTGATTTGAATTGAATTAAAATAATTTTGTTTCACCGTATGGCTTATAGTAATGTGTTACTCAATATTTATACTTTAAAATGACTGAAAAATCATTATCACACTTCCTTAAAAATTTAATTTTTCAAAGATGAATCTTTATCGAATACACATAATTATATTTTAGACGTGGATATTTTTCAGAAAAAATCCGAAAAAATTGTTGCCAATATAAGCTGCATTTATTTTTAACTGACGACCCACCCACTCTTGTTTTGTCGATGTCTGTCTTACAATCAATTGTAATCCACAACAAAAGGAGATTAATCATTCCATTCATTTCATTATGACCGCGGCAGAGTGTGACTAAAAATAAAATTTCATTAAATCTTTCCGGTGGCGTGAAAATTTCCCAATATTTCATTCTGTTATTAATTCATTTATTGCATGTGAGAAAATATTGGGCAACCATTATGTTATATTTCATCGTAACGGATTACCTGTCAATAATCGTTGTGGCTATCTAAATAGATGATCGTGTCAAGATAGACCTAATACACAAGTTTTTTCCTATTATATTAATTTGCTACAACAGATCGTAGTGAGTTTTAGAAGCAACATAATGTACATAATGAAAACGATACGTACAAGAGAAAATTAAAAAAGAAAATTTGTTTTCCTTTAATTACTTATTTGAATTGTTAAATTGTGTCTTTTATTGACTAATTTATTAGTATGCTGATAAGAATGCATTGTCGTAATGCACGATTTCGTAATGGCGTAACTCATACTTTAAAATCGATTTAAAATATCAAACCAATACTGTACCGAGTATGTATTAAACACAAGATGCCTTTACATATACTGTGTATAATACTTAGCTATGGTTGTTACGAGTTTGTTATATACTCAAATTACTCACACGAGAAAAGTGTTGGTCCTACAGGCCGTCAGGGAAAAATCGACCACTTATGCCACTTGTGCCATAAGTAAGACACGTATTTCATACAAATTTTAATCCAGCGCCTCTTAATATAACGGCTTGAACCGTACTTAGAATTTTTTAACATTCAAAAAATCAAGAAGTTATGCATTTTGTATGCAACAAACAAAAAACAGCAAAGTTAAATGCAGTCCATAGTTGTCTCTGCAAAGTAAAAATATTTTCTTCAACCTATAGGAAATATTCAGTGTAAATAGCTTGTTAGTTTTCGGACTAATCGCTGCTGTCTACGGACGAGGTGTAACCGAGTCCGGATTAGCAGATGAGTCCGTAAAAATTTTTTAAGTACGTTTTGCAAACAAAATTTTTAGTTAAAGCTCCCAAACACATTTAGACCTCTTACGATGATGATTAATGTGATTAGAACAAATATTTCTGGAAAATAGTGAGTTTCGGGTTTTAGTTACCACGCCACAATAGTAACCAAATTGTTTAATTTAATTGATTCAGTTCAGTAGTTCTACGACATTTTTCCCAAAAGTGTACACAGAGGGACAAAAATATGCTTGATAAATCACAAGTTTAGACGCGTAATATTTTGCAAATTTTAATTAGAATTTATCAAGTAGTAATGGTTCGAGATGATGGCATCAAATTTTTGGAGAGAAAAATAGATGAATTTTGATTGTCGATTTACTATGTTTACGGTCAAACGTTTGGACAATTTTAAAGCGGTCGGTTTTTAATTTTTATAAATTTTGTTGTAAAAGGTTGAATTTTTTTGAGAAATCTAGATGTCCGAGGTAAAAAATGAAGACAGGTTGGTAAAGTACAACTATAGAAATATAATATTTTACAAAATTCAAACTAAACTTTTGAAATGACATCAACAAATTGTTGAGGGAGATGAACAAATATTTTAACTTATCTACACGATGGTCTTTAAGTACATAATAAATTCCAGAACAAAGGATCCAGTAGTTCCGAAGATTATGTGTCTAATAAAATCACCAACAGACAGACAACATATGATGGAGAGATGAAAATCGGAAAACGACTTTTGCATGTTGTGTACATCATAAAACATGGTACTATTTTTTTCTTTTTCTTCTTGCCTGAGACGTTCTTCGGTTAAACTTTTGGTAAACTCAGGAGCTGATACAGTATAGTAAAACGATGTATGGAAATCGTTCATCATAACAGAAAGTTATATCGATTGAGCACCATAATTTGTAATCGAGTCATCCTTGGTACTGAATTCATATGTCTTCTCAGAAATGATATGTTTAACGCTAGGTACGTCATAGATAAGTTTAAAACAAAATTTATTTAATTACCGATAATTATGTAAACATAATTTTTGAAATAAACACCCAAAAAGCCAAAAACTAAAATCCTTACAAACTGTCACATGAAACGTCCCTTCTAACCTTACTTATCTTATTTTCTTGCTTGGTGTTGCTTCCTGGAGAAATAATCTTAACATTAAAAACAGTTTTTTTTTTCAGAACGTTATCTGCGTATTCACTGAAATATGGCCTTTCCATTGGAGCACAAAGCGTTTATGAATAGGAGTTGTATTTTCTAAGTGGATAGACGGTAAACGGTGTGTGCGACTACTCGATTCAAAGGGCTTGGGATGAATTCTGGGAAGAAGTTCCTAACAACATCGTGCCCATTTTTGTAACGCGTTACAACGATATATCACGAACTTCAGAGAAACCTTAGAAAGGAGGGAAGTAGCAGGTTGAAAGTTAAGGGAACTCCAGAATCTATTGGTTTCATTTGAGTGGCTAAATTAACTCTCAAAATATGAGACTGCGGAGCATCGAAAAGCCACATGTTTATGACCGGACTTCCCTTCATCCTCAAAAATTTGTATTTGGGCTCCAATGAATCAAGGACAAATAATAATAAAGACAACCACGGCAATTGTGATTGACTGTTTTAATCGAAATACAGAGGATATCTAATCCCTGAGATCTTGTGATCTTTCTCCTCCAAACATGCTAAATGACATGACTCGATTACAAATTATGTTGTTCTCCCGCTATAGACGATTCAGTTTCCAACAAGACTGTGATACGTAAGAAGATACAGAATTCAGTCAAGTAAACATCAGATCATGCTTCAGCCTCTACTTGTGCTAATTAAAATGGTGCATCTATTTCTTTTAGCGATCTTTCAATAACGCACTGAGCGCATAACAGCGATTTCTTCTTAATCGAACTCAGTCATAAATGTCGTAGGATATAAAAAGATTAATTTTTCAACTATACTAATGAACTAACATTTTATTTTTATCCCGCTTGTCAGCTATACCATACATCAACAATAACGTTTAACAAAAGATTTTTTTCTCATGTAACGATACTTTATACCGAAGTAAACGTATAACTACTATATTTCAGTCAGTAGTACCTTTTTTACCGAAGGATATAGTACCAAAAAAATAAAAAATGTTCTAGGTTTTTCTTGAGTTACTCGTAGAGAAAGCAACAACTTTTAATGTCTGTCTGATTACTAGAAATACCTCAAGATAAAGTGTTTCTCTTTCTATCTTCAACATTTTTGAAGAAAAATACTTACCCACATTTAAAACATTGTAAATACGTTCAGCTGTTCGCATTTGGCACGGTAACTGAAAATTAATGTACAGCATTTCCATTAGAATATTAATAATTGTATTGGTTTTCTTTAACTGTTAACAGCTATATTTTTCAACGATTTTTAAAGTCAAAATCAAATTTTGGAAATTTTAAAATGTAGAACAATTTTTAGCAAATTTTAAAGCATGGAGCATTTATCAAAAATGAAAAATATTTTGAGAACGATTGCAGTTTACAACTTTTTTCAAGCAAATTAGTTAACAGCATAAAAGTGGTCAGTTACTAACTAACTAACTAAAAGTAAAAACTAAAATTAGAAATTAAAAAAAATCTTTTTCCCGCTTATAATAATATCTAAAACTACCAGAAGTTCTAACCAAATTTAATCAAAATCTTCTTATTATTAAACGTAGTACAACATAACAAACCACACATCTATATTTACGAACACTGATTCAATGTTACACATTTAAGCATCGTGCACGATACATACCAAATCCAATAAAAGAGTCATACGATACCAATTGAGAATTTAGGAAAAAGGAAAATCTAATTAAGGCATCGTAAAAGCAGAGAAAAAAATATTGACTTTCCAGGTCACATGCACTTTTTCCTTCCTTTCAATTTATGATGCAAATTGAGTGAATATAAAAAAGGTTACGTCTCATAACAAAATTTTATTTTTTTCAAGAAGTGTAAATTTATTAAAAATGATGAATTATACAATTTTAAAAACACGATGAAAGGTTTCACTTTACACAGGCCCTGTTTACATCGCGCCCTATTTCAGCTAACCAAATAATAAAATTCTTTTATCATATTACTACTTGTAAGCATGAAACTGGTAGAAGATTTATCGTCGATTGGTGGCTACTTTCTGTAGACGGTGTTGGTATTAACGGCAATCCAAATCCAGTTCTCTACATTCTAAAAATCAGGCATTCATCACCTACCTGCTCCGCATCGAAACCTAATACTAGCAAAAGACAGTGTTCCATCAAGTTCAACGTAACAAATGGGTAACTTTTTTGCGCGTAAGCACATACAGACACTTGACAGGCAATTCTCGAAGAGATAGATGTGTCGAGTAAGGACAAAGCAGTGAGTGCTTAAGAGGTGCTAACTACTCGGCAGGTAAGGGATCTCAAACACATCGAACCAGTTCAGATGGTACTCACGCAGGGAGGTCTCCCGGGGCAGCTCCACTGTGCCTGCGGCAACGGCAACGGCAACACAAGAACGATCAGTCAAACGGCACGTGCCACGCCACTGGCAATCTGCACGTGCAACGCACTGCTACCACGTACTCTGCACGTAAAAACCGAACGACAAGCCTTCGAAATACTTAATCTTGGTGATGCATTATCGGGGAAATTTACCAGACAAATTGATGCCGGGAACTGCGGGAGAAGGTTAAAAAAACACCTCTCAATAAGTCTGGATAACCTCAGTGAAAGAAGAATGTCAGCCGCTTACCAGGCGAGCATTTTCATTTAGGTAATGCGTGCTGCTTAGGAGAATTTTGCATACATTCTTTTATCGTGTTTTTCTAGAAAATTACTTAGTAAAAGTTTTAAATATTTAGGCCCCTAAATCAAGAAAACATGCAGCAGAAAATAAGATAGATATACAATTTTTAACACCAATTATTTTCAGGAAGAAAGCTAGAATAGTTGCTTGAAAAAAAATTGATTGTCTTATAATCGGTGATGCCTATGTTCTTCCAAATTTAAGATTTTGTAATATTATTTTTTCCGTTTGCAGGAAAACAGGTTTTCATAAGACTTTATTTTTAATTGTAAGAATAGTTACTCAAGAGAGGTACAATTTCTCACGTTTTCATTAAAGGCGCGCAGTGTTAAAAATGTTGCATTATCACAGTTTCAAAATGTTTAAATATCATAAATACCGCAAGTTTCACAATGTTGTGACTAGTGAAGACGAGGCAATTTTAATTTATTCTATTATAATAATACATTGAAAAGCATGTTTTATAAAAGCAGTACAGTGAAAAAGATGTTTTATAAGGTCCATTATTAGTTATTACCACACGAATTCAAGTTTGTTGCCTTTTACAAAAAACGAGTGTGACAATGACTTTACAAAACAAGTTTTTCGTACCATTTTTTCTACTGAAAAAATGTAATATGTTTTTTTGACGTTAACAACTAATCTGCCAACTGTGGCAGTTCTGCAAGTTGCTGTCAAATTTTGGGACCCAGGGAAATCAGTTATGAGACCAAATATAAGTTTACGTTGCAGATTTGGTCATCATAGGTAAAAAATCTTGCTTGGAAGCAAAACGCATGGAGAAATAACATATGATGATAATCGTTCCACGGTGACAAACGTCAGTTATCTGTCAAATCTGAATTATGCCATAATATGAAGTTTTGAATACCAATCCACCAACCAATGTTTTAATGCGACTCTAAAAACATCCAATTAGAAAAATAACGTTCCGTTTCTAATTTAACAAAAAATAAAATACAAATAAAATAAACAGTTGTTGAATTAACAACGATAAAAAGACGTGTAAATGAAATAAATTAATTATTTCTTTATTATAATTATTTTATTATGTAGGTACATTTCAGAGGGCTAAATATGTCAGGTCACACAGTGGAAAGTGCCATTTATTTATTTAGAAGTTACATTCCAAAATTTCGACTTTATAAAAGGCCAAATTTAATAGTTATTTGTAACACAAAGTCACAAATTATGTTTTCGAGAACAGGATAGGTGAGGCCCGCAAAAAACAAGTATTCGCAGAAAATAAATATCTCTCAGATGTTTATAAGAATAAAATTGTTACTGAATTATATTGATGCAAAATCATAGAAATGAAAGAGTATAAGGAAGAGCCTAAAGTTAAAAGGACTCGCCCGACGACCAAGAACCTTGAGTTCGAATTTCGTTTGGAGCTGAATTTTTTTTTTTCTCGCCTTTACAGGATATTTTTACAGCACACACATTATTTACTATATTTCACCCTATAATAGGTTATTCTAACAGTTATCTTATTGGATGTTCTAGTTCAAAACTTAGAAAAACTTTGCTTTATTGCAAAAACCTACAAAAGATCACGTATCAGTCACAGAATGACAAGCGATAATACCAACCGATATCTACAATCATAAAAAATCTCTAGGTTTTTGCCAGACTAGTCCGGCAGCTGTTTGGTTTCTGGCCGTTAAAGACACATCGAAAACCGGTGTATCCTGGCTGCAGGTACAAAAATCAATTTTTACGTTTTGGACTGTTTTGTTATTTAACGGGTATACATTAAAAAATATATCTGGAGCAAGCCTCGGAATTATTATTTGCTGCTTATACTTATATATAACAAGGTAATTTTGCTTCATTTTTTTTCGAAATGCCAGGCCAACTTAATTTTTTTTAATGACACTACTATATAATTAAACATTTTTGAATGGAGCTTCTTTTTCTGAATTCATTGATATAACAGAATCATACTTTCTTTCTGATTGAAATGGGGAAATAAATTATTAAACAATTATTAAATAAATTATTAATTTCAATTCATTGAATTCAGATTAATATTAAACAATAAATAATTAATCAATAACAACCGAAGCAAAAATTAAACTTCAGTTTTCTACAAAAGATGCTCAAAACGCTCTCCATTTACTTCCTAGCAGTAAAAAGACTCTGAATAAAATTTTGCAGTGAGTTAATGAGAATTTCTGAACGAATGCTAGCAATTTCATTACATATGCGTCCCTATCAGTCTTGAGTGTGAATAGGTCTATTGATATACACGCGATTTTTCAAATGGCTCCACAAAAAAAAGTCAAACGATGCCAAATCCGGTAACCCTAGCGGCCTATCCATCTGACAGAAAAAGTTTCATTTGAGTACTGTCGCACTTGACGTCCAAAATGGGGTGGAGCACCGTCTTGTTGAAACCAAATAGTTTCTGCTGGTAACTCCGGATTTTGATAACTGGGAAACAATAGGGAAAGTATAGGCAGTATATGTTCCCAGAACAACCTTAAGTATCCCTCAGAATTTAAATTCCCATTAATAAAAAAGACCAATTACATGATAACCAATAATACCGCACTAAACATCCAGTTTTTCTGGACGCTGTGTGTGGATTTGCTCCATCCAATATGGATTTGTGTCAGACCAGTACCTGCAGTTGTGTCTGTTCACATGACCATTTAAACAAAACGTATAGATTCATCAAAAAACATAATGCTGTTGATAAAATTTTCGTCTTGTTGTAGTATTCTGTTTATAATAATTTCGGTAAATTCAACTCTACGATCAAAATCATCTTCTCTTGTACCAAATGGATTTTGTATGGATGAAACTTTTTCTTTTTCATTATTGTTTGAATTGATTTTCTACTAGCATTGTAATTCAGCGCTAATTGCTCTATTGACGTTTTGAAATTTTCTGTTGTGTCTAAGAAGCCTGCCAGGTTTTGGACGTTCTTTACCACCTCCAGTTTCATTAAATCTCCGTAGGCTTTTTGAAACCCTCGACTTAGAAATGAGTTCTCGCTTAGGATGAATTTCATTGAAAAATGTTACTAGTTGAGCAAAACCTCGTCTTTTGTCGTAGTAATCGATAATCATTAATAATTCTATGCGCTCAGTTTCACTTAGATGCATCATTTTTCAGTAAACGATTTTCATGTCACATTAAAATTATTTTCAAAGGTGACTATGTCATCTTTCCTTTTTTAGTTATTCTTATTTAAAATAATTTATTTTGCCATTTCAGTCAGAAAGAAAGTATGATTGTGCTATATCAATGAATTCAGAAAAAAGCTCTATTCAAAAAAGCTTAAATTATATGGTAGTGGCGTTTAAAAAAATCAAGTTGGCCTTGCAAATCGAAAACAAATGAAGCAAAAAAATGTTTTGTACCCCTATACTAAATTTTAGTTGATATGTCCAATTGGTTCTCAAGATTTTTAACCATTTCTATACATTTTAGAAACCCTATATTTAATTGCTCTGGGGAAAACTTGTTGCCCAATGGTTCTATCAGTTTTTACTGCACGAGCGTAAGCGAGTCCATCGGGCGACACTGGATTGATTATTATCAAATTTTGTATATATATTTAGACATTGTAGATGATGAACGCTAACAAAAATTTGGCTAATCACCAACAATCTGATGACGCCGGTTATTATATTGCGTAATTAACATTATCTAAATTGTGTGAAGTAATAAACTTCCGTACTTGAGGTTTACGAATTTAACTTGATTTTGTTTATTATCAATATATGTTTAACCCATTTTGTTCTTTGGAGACATAGCACGAAGCTGCAGAACAGCTAGCTCATTGGTGGGACACACGTCTCGCAGATCCAAGGTCCGGGGATTGAAGCAAGCGGGCAGCAGATTTTTTTTTTCAAATCAAGAATGGATCACACCGTGGTCCCGAAAAGTAAAAATACAGTAATGTCCGCCCGTTTTGCTCCATTGCAGCTTAATTAATTAAATTAGTCCTCTCTTTTAACGAAATGTGTCAATAGTCGAATTCTTTCGAAATATAAACTTAAACAGTCAAAGTTACGCATGTACTGACAGATTGATAAAACATAATTTTCCATTGGTTATCTTATCCAATTCATTATATTTCATACGGTTTTCACAAATAGAATTTCCAAGTTCAAATTGTGTAATTTTTCAAAGACGGGGGATTTGTTAGACTGCACTTCGGGGCGAGGGATATTCTGCCAAAATAACATTCGACCAATTTTATTTTATAAAAATATGACATTTAAAAAGTTGTCTATTACAAAGAAAATAGTAATTAAACATTATTGTGGGGAATAGAAATACGAAGTAAACGTTTAACTATATATATCAGTTATTGTGACAACTGAAGTATTATTGTAGTGTTAAATACAGTAATACAATTTTCTGGTACTGAACGGTACCCCTCGATAATGTACACTTACGGGCGTTCGCGGGATTCTAGTACCTACAATGTTCAGTAGAATGGCAACACTGTTAATATTTAATTTGCTGATGTAAAATGTTCCTAGATTCAATACAAAATTATTTTTGTGCTAGAACCTTGTTCTTACAAGGTCACGAATTTTAAATGTGTTCATAGTAGTTTAATTAAGGGTTTGTTAATAACTTTACGTACTATTTATGTTGACGTTCATTAATTTATTAATTATTTATTTTTAAATTTATTATCTGTACATAATATAACACAATTATTGTAATCTACATTTTACACCATTGGAAATTAAGTGTAAACAGTTGTAATTAAATACCAATTAATTATTGTATTGCCTGAGCTAAAGTTAATTGAAAATCAACTGCATTGTAGTCCTGAAAGCAATATTATGTTCAACAAAAATATACTATCTAGTGCTCTTACGAATTGCAGCATGAGCTAAAGAAAGAAGTATGAAAATATGAGTAAGTACATTGACCTATGAACTAGTGCAATACCTTCATGCAAAAAAATCATTTGAAAAAACATCAATTTTCACATTTTAACAAGGAAAGAATCAAAAGTCAGAATTAGTTCATACTTAAAGAAACAAACAAGTGCTATAATGACAAGCAACATGCTATGGATCACGCAGGTTTTTACCGCGCGTGAACATACATTTTAACAAAGATACAATAACGTTAGAAATCGTCAAAATCATCACATTACGCTTAGTTAGCGCTTCATCAAAAATTTTGTTCCCATTTGTACTATAGTTATCCTTGTTCAAAAATTTACTTCATAAACATGTGTGAGTTTAGATTTTTCCAGCTTTCGTGACCACATTGAGATTTTTCTTTTCCGTTGTACCATTGTATGGAGCACAATTAATCGTAAAAATGCAAATACACTAGTTGAGAAACAGTGTTAAAATCCTACGTTCAAGACAAATTCTTCGTCTTTAATGCCTCCTGCACCGCCGTTAAAAATAAATTTTCTTTCAGCAGATAACTTCGTTTTGAATTATCGTAAAAAACTAGCCATAATTAACGAAGCGGAACTATATATATATATTGTTGACAACTTTTGACAAATTTTAAAAAATGTACAACTCTCTGATAATAAATTATACTAAACTTTTGAGTTTTATCAGCAAAGAAAATACTAATTCCTGCAAATTATGTCTATCAAAAGGGAAAAAAGGGGAACACAACAATTTTATGTTTCCGATTTTTTATAATTTTCGACAGAATGTCACTTCTAGGTAAACATCTATGTCGATTTGTTCAATATCACAATAACAGTATTTTATTATTCAAGGTGAATCAATACTAACTGGAAAAAATATATTTAGATGTGATGCAGGATGTAATAAATCACACAAAGAAATCATCATTGCCAAGAGATTTTAACGACATTCTCTCAACACCTGTTCTTTCTGGATATTAAGAAAAGTTATGACATGTGATCTATACTTCGTACATTTTTATGATAATGATTTCCTGAGCGTAAGCTAATTGTCTGTCGTCTGCTTGTTTTATCTCGTCGTCTGTCAGTGGTCTGTTCGCGGTTTTATTAGACAGATAATCTCCGAAACTACTCAATTTACGAATATCGTGTATTTAATAAAACGCTACCAAAATCTGTCTGATCACTACCATCAACAATGATCTGATGATATCATCTAAAAATTTTGCATAGTAAATGCTAACGCTACTCTTGTTTTTCTGGTTGATTTTTTTACCTTAGACTTACCGGTTTTTGGGAAAGAAACCAAAATTTTATAAAACTATTCTACAATTTAACTTAAAAACTTGAATGCTTTGAAAGCCTGCAAACGTTTTAATGTTGTAAGCATGGTAAATCGCCAATCAAAATTTGACTGTTTATTCGCTCCAAAAACATGATGACGTCATTTCAAAATTTTATATTAAGATAAATATTATTGTATTGGCTTATCAACACATTTTTACATTTTTTGGAATTACTTTTTCAGAGTGACTCAAAAAATTAACAAAGGAAGCAATTTATTTTATCCATCAAGTCAAGAACTTTCCCAAAAATTTGGAAATACAGTACTGTTATTATTAGTATTATATTGCATCTGTTCAAACGTGTATTTGCTAAAATGTTGAAGACGCCATCACAAAATTTTGTTATCGAAAGACTGACTTGAATACATACATATCTTTTTCGATTAATGTTTCAGACTAAAGAGTGCCTCGGTCAGTGCTAGACAGATTCTAAGAGTTCCAAGCAAGTAAAATAATAGCGTTCTTCCCTCTTTAATCGAATGTTCGAAGTTCAATCTATTAGGATAACTACCCCTCCTACTAAATATTCGTACGATAAATGCATACTATTATGGACAAAGGCTTGTCGTTCAGCTTTACAAATCAGCTCACTTATTCGACCAACTCAACATTTACAAACCGTCCTATTTTACAAAAACTGCCGATTACCATGGCACATCACAAAAAACAAATGCGTTGTGTTGCTACACCAACAACTACAATTAGAAGCCCAATAATTCGTAACAGCCTACAGCCTATACCGACCACCCCATAGGACGGTGTTGGTGTACACAATCACCACCTAGATGCCCTATTCTCGTTTCAGACAGTTGCAACAACAACCAACCCTCTTTCAAAAATAGAGCACGTCTAATTCGCGTGCAATTCGGTGCAGAGAAAGCATTTTAACAATTGGCGGAGCTGAACGTATTGGGTTTTCACCGAACTGCGCGCCATTGTCTGTTGTTTACACAGTATAAACCTGGAAAACCACCGAGGAAATTGCTGTTTTTACGTACTCAGGTGGTGTCCCTCTGAGGTTGAACGAAGTGAAGACGATCTCGACACGCTGGCCAAGCCCAGCTAAGAAAGTGTAAATGCACTGGCGCGAGTGTCCTCGAAGGTTTACAAACTCCGGTGCTTGAAAGGTGCCGTTCAGCGGACCTCCTGGTCTGCTTACGAATGTCTGGTCACACTCTGAAACAAAAAAAAGATTATGGTAATAACAAACAGATGTAACGTTGATCGTGCAATTGCAAGAAGTATTCGAAAACAGATTCCCGAATAAGATATATTTTACGAATAGCCAATTTTATGTTTTCTCTACGTTTTATAGCGTCTACTGCATGAAAAACAGGTCCCCCACTTTCGTGTGTGTTATTTGTCTCTATCATCTGCCAGTTTTATTAGACACATAATTCCTAAACTACTGTACCGATTGAAATTTAGATTTGTTTAAAAATATTTAAAAAATGACATTCATCGACACAAAATTACGGCAGAAAAAATGCAAGACAGAAACTAATTCTTGTTCGAACTCTTATTAAAGTTGTATTCTTTTTATTATTTGATTTCCGTTCATGTTTTAGTAGACACGTACCTTAATTAATTAACAAAATTGTTGCTGTAGAGACAACTACATAGATGTTCAGCATATTTTTATTTCTCGATGATTCCGTAAGCGTATAAAAAATGTTTCCATAAAAACCTTTACATCTTGAAAATAGGACAATCTATATAAAAAAAAACAGTTTTCAGGTAAAGGTTATGCAGTCTGTTTGACTTTGTATTTTTTTTTCTGTGACAATTTTTGAACAGCCTATATAATAATAATATAATTTATCTTAGAAATTAATAAACCAATTGTTCTGAAATTTAGCGCATGTTTTGAGATTATTGTTACGAAAGACCCATTTTTCAGATGTTTCATGTGACATGTGAGAGCAGAAATTTTGAAATTTTAAAGCGGCATACAAACTTGTCAAATAAATTTATTCTTTATAAGTTTCTTTAAGCTGATTTAAGCAAATTTAAAAATTGTGAATTCAATGATAAATCACACGTAAAAACTAATCATATTTTGCAAATTTTGGATACAATTTATTCGGCAACATTTTGAGATGACGTCATCAATTTTTTAGAGAGAATAAACAGATAGGTGTATTTTGATTAACAATTTATCATTCTTACAATAACTTTAAAACGTCTGCAAGATTTCAAAGCATTTAGTTTTGCAATCCTTTATTTATTAAATAAAATAAATTGACTGATTCATTAATTTTTTTGAGTGACCCTGTATAATCTAAAAAATGAGGTTCTTAATTTGATCATTAAAAAATTGATTGAAGGCTACAAGAATAATCCGACAAATCCAACTCTTTAAAAAATATATAAAATTTGATTTTACGATTTTCGTTTTGTGATAACCCGTTTAAAGTAAAAACCAGAGGCATAAATAACACCCCTTGTCCTTCAGCAGTAGGTAACAGCAATCTGAAGCTCAAGTTAGTTTGATTTGAAAGAGTTTGTCTTCTTAAAACAAGACTAAAATTATTGATTAAACCATAATCGAATTATAATCATATATATAATAACGTGGATAATTCTAGTCTAAGAAAAAAAAAGGTAAGGGCCAAGTTCGGCGTTGAACCACAATCGCAGTACCGCAGTTTGCCATTAACTCCGATACTCCCACTGCGCCACGGAGATATTCAAACCGTTTTGGGAATAAAACGTTATTATACCTTGCAAATGTTTTTGCTAAAATTTGGACATTTAACCCAAAAATTAAAAGTGGATTCGTACACTACAAGTATATGGTAAAATTTGAATGTTACAAAGTATTTTTGTATAACATTCAAATCATTTTAGAAAACCATTCATTGAAATGACGTCATCAAATTGTTGGTGGGGACAATTAGCCAAATCTTGGTTACCATTTAACCATCTACATGATATTTCTAATATACATACAAAATTTGACAACAATCGGGGTAGTTTCGGAGATTACATGTCTAATAAAAATCGATACAGACTGACCGACAGTCAGACAAACGGAAACGGGAGACTACTTTTTTCGTACATGAATCGTCGAAAAAACATAAAAGTGGCAATTTGTCCGAGGACTCGATTACAATACTTCCTTCGCTTACGCTCGGCAAGTCAAAAGTGGACACTTGTCCGGTGGACTCGTTTACTACTTTCTTAGCCTACGCTCGGGAAGTAAAAACGCCAAAATACGAAAAAATTGGTTTAAAACAAAAAAAACTAACCAATTTAATAAAAAACGGTTTTTTAACATCTCTAGCCATACTATACATGTCAGTGTTCTTGTAGTGGTATAAAATGTAATGATGAAATTGAATTTTTTCCAAAAATCTGTATGCTAGGTACAAAAAATCAAGCCGGACTCATCAGTCGCAAGGGTAGGCGTATGACACATGATCAAATTATTGGTGGAGATAACTAAACAAATTTGAGTTTGCGTTTTACCATCTCCATACATTAAAATTTGACAATAATCGGTGCAGTAGTTTTGGAGAATATCAATAGTAGGTAATATCCCGAGTATTTTTTTTTATTTTTAAATTAAGAAACAACTTGATTTGCATGAGCGAATATTTTGCGACTATTTCCTGAAAAAAAAGTGCGTTTATCGTCGGATGGAATCTGTTACAAGACCATAGTTTACGCTCAGAAAGCAAAAACTGTCAATGTTAATCGTCAACAGAATTAAGAAATGTACACACATTAATAAAAATAAATTGTTTTTAATTTAATAATACTAATTAACAGCCGACAAAACAATTCATTTGCGTTTCTTTTTATAGATACTAGTATCTAATTTAGAGTTGCGTGTTTAATATATATTAATAAAAGTGGCAATCAAACCTTGTCAACAAGCTATTTAATATTCTTATTTTTTGATTTTCACTTTAATTAAGGTGTTATAAAAAATCCTGAATTCTCAGTGGACAACTGTTCAAAAAATATATCATTGTCTCATTGGATCTAAAACTTAAAGGTAAATTTGTATTTGGCCCTCATTAATTTTTTATTTTAATGAATTTTAATAAAAGAGTTTTTTACATGGTTAGAGTGTGCCAACAACAATAGATATAAATAATACAGAATTCCCTCAATGTGAAGAAAATAATGTTGGAATACAGAATTATGTAAAAACAAATGTAAAAGATCATTAAAATGGAAATAAAAATAAGTTAATAACTATGCATTGGTAAAAAGACCGGCCAGTATATTGATTTCTTATAAATTCCGCGTTGTAGATGTAGCCTGTAAAGTATATTTAGTTAGATAAAATAAATAAGGAAACAATCAAAAGCCGTGTCTAATATTGTGTTGTGCTCGTCTTGAATTGCTGCCAAATCTGCTACTTATACTGTTTTTTAATATACTAATATCCTAATCCAAAAGCGATACTGTTACAAACAAAAGTTAGGGGAACTCACATAAACATTTTTTGTTTCGAAATGTTTACTTGCTCCGTTTATGTTAAAATATTAATTCCTCGACATTGTGTTATCTGAATCTATAGTGTAGTGGAACGCTGTCCGTGAATACTAATTCAGCCACAGAGATAATATTTTCACGCTAATGCACCTTAACTTTGAGCAAATCTCATTTGCATGATGAAGGAGATAGTATCTGGGAGAATTATTGTAAGTTGCATTAAAGTGTTTTGGACCTGTGCCATTGTAAACGATCAATGGGCGTTTTGGACAGACGCCATGGGAAATGTAATGTTATACGAAAAGTATAAAAGTATCGTTCGTTATTATTCCGGTGGTTTGCTATACATAAATTTTACTCTGTAATGACTTTTATTGATATATTTGGGCACTCTCCCATATGGGATAAAAACTTCTAAGAACATAATGAAAAAATTCATTTGATCAAATTATTGGAGAACATAATTCTTGGAAGTGCTCCTTCGATGTTTCTGGAATAAATGACAAATATAGTCAATAATGCGTAACGTTATGTACTTTTTCATGGTTGTGCCACGACATTAATGAGCCAGTTTCTTTTCGCTGCATCTTATCTTGAGGAAATGTAGACAATGATCATCCCAAATTTTATGAGACGAAGAAAATTGCTGTATTATCTGCTCGTCACATCTGTACATTAATAACACCTACGTCAGCATCTACAAAAAAGAGCAACTTTTACTGGATAACTGGCAAGAGACATGCTTACAGAAAACAGCTATCTATTATTTGGGGAGAAAAAAGAACTAAACTTTAGAAATTTATAATGGGGTAAAAACGCAAAAAGCAAATACCGTTTGAAAATCCGCTCCATTGTTTGAGGAACAAACAATTCCATTTATCTTATTCCACTTTTTTAATTGAAAAAATGAAATTTTCGCCCGGAGAATATGCTCCTAGTAGACGAACAAAAGTTTCGGTTCGTTTTAATACCGCTTATTCTTTGCATAATTTTACTAGGTGTGAATATCTCAAAACAAAAGATTTGCATGCAGACTTAAATTCATTTAAACTTTTAATACATTTTAACAAGAAAACTTTTGCGTTTTATGTCATGTAAAATAAAATTGCCTTGTCGGAGATAAATGGCGATTTAAAGATGTTCTTTAAACTTTCGAATTTAGGTTCCCTTTCAGAGGTTTATTTAATTTTTTCCCTTCGCTTATTATCATTTCAGAGTGTTGATTGCGGAAATACCACCGTATGATGATGATAAAGTAATTTCCAGGCGAATGTTGTTGGTGCAAAGTCGTTTTAATTAAAGTGTTTGAACTCATTGAAATTCCGGGATGTAGCAAGAAGCAATATAGGGACTTGATGTTGTATACCCGATGTCGTTGCCTGTCTGTGATCAAGGACGAAATAGGGTCACGTGTTAGCGATTTTTCGGGAAGGAGTAACGCAAGAGTGCATTTTAGTACAATGTAAAAGCTTAAAGCTCAAAGAAATACGTGATTTTTCGTCAATTACCTCGACGTACTACATATCAAAATAGCTTAACACCCACGGGGAGAATAACAGAACATTATTTTTAATAGCTCCACTTCCAAGCTTTCATAGTTCTTAGTTAAATATTGTCGGCCAAGTGAGGAGCTTTACATAGAGCCAAAGCTTTCTGAGAGCGCTTTCCCAGCTATTCGATATATTTAAGTAATTTTCAACGCGCGACGGATGAAGAGCATTCCTCTT